GGCACTAAAGAACAAACACTGTGTGACTCTGCTTTACGGGGTACTTGGAGACAGAAGGTCCTGGAGGAGGGAAAGAGAAGAGCGGAGAGTTAGTGTTTAATTTGTAGAGTTTCTGTTGCAAAGATGAACAAGTTTGAAATAGGTGGTGGTGACAGTTTCACAACCAAGTGACCATATTTATGCCGCAGAACTGAACACATAAAAGTGTTCAAAATGGTGTTTTATGTTATGTACATTTAAACACAATCTGAGGAGGAGGAAGAATGTACTCACCACACATGTCTCACTTAAATCCCATAGAAAATACTAATAGCTCTTTAGTAGACATTTGTCCTAAGTGGGTTTAGCTCGCACATTTCAACCAGCCCTCTGTGAGTCCTGGATCCAGTATCAGTTCAGCCACTTAGCACTAGTCAAATCTGTCACTTGCGTACATCCCAGTAGGCAGTTTAGGTCTTGGCTGGAGATCCATCTCATGACACACTTCTCCATGTCTACCCGGCTCCCCCTACCTCGGCCCCCCACATTGGCACCTTGGGGTGAGCCAAGAATTCACAACTTTAAGGGACTACTTCCTCAAGAACCTCCCTGAAAGTCCCAGTCTGGCCTTATTTCAGGACTCTGGTCCCAAAATTGGCTGTGTCTACTTCCTGTGGCTGAGGTGGACCACCTCTAGGCCCAAGTAATAAGGGCATAGATAAAGAAAAGAAAGTGGGGTTTTTTTGGTTTTTTTTTTTTGTTGTTTTTTTTTTTTCTCTCAGTTGACACAATAGCTCCTCAGGGAGTCAAATGGTTTCTTCCCTGCAGAGTTTTGGCTCCCGCAGTTCCTATCACTGCTGTTTTCACCCAGGAAGCAGCAGTCTCCGGGAAGATGGGGAATTTCATCCACTCTTCCTACATATTCCATGTTGTTTTCCCTACTTTTCTGCTCAGGGTCTTCTGGAGAAGTCTCTGTTCATACCCGGAAGCCCTGATGGGATTCAAGTTTCAGTCAGTTTAGCTGAGGCTGGAGTGGAGGGAACAGGGCAAACTCACTACCTTCTGGTCCTCTTCCTCCTGTGCTTCTTCAAGTGTCCACTTTGCAGAGCCCTCACATTGCTGGATGCAGTTTGTCTGGGCTAGACAGCTGCATTCGGTGGCAGAGGTGGGTCACCTGTGTCTGACCCATTTTATCCTCACCTGGAATGTACTTTGCTTCATTATAAAACTGGCTCCAACTTTGGCGTTTAATGAAGGGCTCCATCCACCCTACCAACCCTCTCCCTTCACTCACTCATTTATTCTGTTCATAAAGAACTGAATGCCTATTATACACTACAAACTGTGTGTGCGGGCTAAACATCCAGTCTTTAGGTTGTTTAGGACACAATTCCAGGTGAAACATGGGTATGTGTGTTTTGCACATACCCTGGCCTTTCCCAATGCTTGCATTAACAGCAGGTATATGAAAAGTGGGTGACTTTTGATGCGTCCTTGGGGAGTACGCCATGAGCCTGAAATGGTCCTTGCTTTCCAGCTCTGAGGGTGAGGCTGAGGGCTTTGGAAAGAGTTATATTTTCGAACACACAAGGTTTGTGGTTTTTGAAAGAACAGAAAGGATAAAAGCATAACATCCTGCAAGATTACATTCTGCTGAAGACCAGTTGATGCGACATCTGAAAATAATCTAATAAGTGTCTTGTTTTCAACCTGAAAATGACTTTGTGAAAGTTGGGATGGAAATTCTCCACTTAAAAAAATAAGAAAAATTGAAATGGAGATTGTGGGAAAGAACAAAGATGGGAAATTAGGAGAGTGCTTTGAATTGTTAATAGCATTTATACTTGTAAAAACGAATCTCTCTAAAAACCTGGAAATGCGCTAATAATTTTAAATCATCTTATACAGCACATGCCCCCAAACTTGATAAGTTCAGAATTCAATTGCTTATAACCATTTTTTGGAACATTACAAAAACTTGGAGTGGCTACACAATGAACAGACTCTGGACTTAAAATTATTGAATTCCTCAATGTATTTTTTCCCATAAATTCTTACAATTGGAAATAAATCGTGATAAAAATATATTGCACTATTTTTATAATAAATAGGGGAATTGGTCAAGAAAAGAAGATTCGAAGAGAGTTACGATGAAGAGTGGGGAGGAGAGCAAAGACAAGGCTGAAGGTGGCGTGTATGACAGCCCAAAATAAGAATGGAAGGCTGCGCCTGAAGATGATGGTGCTGCTGGCCAAGGTAAGACCAGTTAGGCAGGTCGGCGAGGACAGTTGGGGGCGAGTAAAACCAAATGCCATCAACCCTAGGCTCAAGGCCGGAGGGACTGAAGGAAACAGAAACTAGCGTCTTACCTCAGTGGTTGAGGGGTGACTTGGAGTTCCCCCAGCATTTCATTAATATACAAGTCAAATGCTGCTAATAGCCAATAGAGATAACAGACAGTTTTACTCTGTGAATTTCTGGTTTTTAATGATGTACTTGAGCTTAATTTTTACAGCTGTCCTTGTCTTAATGTTTTTTTTCCTCTCTGGAGTTTAATGGTTTCTAGTTACATATTAGCATTTAAAGCAGCATGTCACCATCAGGAAGCACATATCTTCTGATGGTTATGGCATTTGGACCTTCCCTAGTTCTCTAGAAGGGCAAGTGCTCCTGTGAGCGACACAGTGAATCCATCCTGATTGGAACTGGCAGCACAGGCTCAGGACACATGCTAGACATCTGACCTAATGCCTTGTGTAATAGCAGCTCAATGAGGACTCCTGCCATGAGGCAGAATGCTTGGAAAGTTACTAAATGCTGGCATCACTGGGTTTGGGGTCAGTGTGATGAAACCAGGACTCATTATGTTCCTACTATGCAATTGGTGCAAACTTGGTGCAATTAGCCTAGCACGATAATTTCCTGAAGCCATATGTTGATCCTCAGGGGAGAGATGGCTTCATGTGATTGGTGGCTCTGAACTCTGACTGGCATGTCCCAGCATCAAGCACATTTCTGTACATCAAGATAACATCAAACATAAGGTAAAAGAGCCACCTTGAGTTGAAACAGGAAACTCAGGTTGGGTTGCATACTTGTGAAGTGTTTTTGCTTTTTTCCTTCCTTCCTTTGCAAGGAAATTTTCAGAGAAAGGTCAAGGGACAGGGGAGAGCACAGACCTTACACAGAGTATAAGGCTCTGTGTAAGGCTGCCTCCCCTGCCCTTGCTCTCCTATCCAAATAAAATCAATGGAGGGACCTAGAGCACAATAAGTTATGTTCAGGGCTGCGTGTTCCCATTGGAGACCTATCAATGTGAACTAGCACTGTTGGGAAATCTCTTCAGCTGCCCCTCTTAATCAATACCTCTGTTCATTATACATTGCTGATGAATATGGGTAATGATTGGATGCCCCTGCATCAGGTGACTAAAAATAACTGTGCCTTACTGAGAATCAATAGATATTCCCCCCCAGCATTACTTCAAGCAATTCAATATTCCCATCCGCCCTCCTCAAGCCCCTGCCACTATAATCCTCTCTTGTCTTTCCTGATAGAGCAGCTTCATCCTTAGAACAGCTTTATTATATTAGTAACACTTAATGTACCATCATATTGTCAGCTGACACCGAGCAAACTAGCAGGCGGCAAGTCTTCCCGTGGCTCAGGAGAGCAACTGGCCACAACTCAGCCAGTTTTGATTAGCTTTATGCCAAGAGCTGTTTTCATGGGTGCCTCTTCAGTACAGGAGGATTTCCATCACTTAGTAACACTTAATAAAACTTTATTTTGTGGAGAAGGAGCTGTTTGAGTGGAATTTCATGCCAGTTACAGATGTGTTATGACAGATGAAAAGATCACAATGATACTTGGATTCATTGCAGAAGTGTGTTAACACACCCATGATATTTAATAGCCACGTGCCTCAGTGGAGGCTGACTTCCCTAAAGTTGCCTAACCTTTTATCTCTTTGCCCTCGCCCCAAAATCTTTCTGTGGGTGCTTAGAGTAATCAAAGAGGGACACCCTTGTGGATGCTTGGTGGCTAGTACCCAGACCCCCTGGGAGGTACCCTCACTCAGGAGATCTTCATCTGAGTAGCTCCTTAGTAGACTTGAGCGATAGAGGGATCTTGTCCAGAGGCCTGAACCAGTGGCTTGCCAGAGTCTGGGAAGTTCACGGTCTGGATTATAGGCTGAAGGAAACAGGAGATTTGGGGGGACACAAGCCAGGACTTGGAGAAATCTGGCTTTGAGGATGAAGCAAAAGTCCTGAATTGGCAGGAAAACTCCAGCACACGTTACAGTGTGCATTCCTCTCAAATCCTATGCATGACAGGTTTGAGGGTAATATTAAACATTGCTGAGTAAATGAACTTTCTATCTGCTCCTTCTGATTGTCCTTCGAACAGTGTAATAGGAGGAACTGCCACCAAATATGACATTTTTGCATCTGCTCATTTTATTTCTAGATTATAATAAGCATAGTCTGTAGAAAAAACAGTCAAGAGAGTATACACGGAAAGATAAGCATTATTCTAAAGAAATATAAAGTCATCCTGGTGGCTGCTGTCTGCATCTTTGAAAGGATAGGGTGGGAGGGAAATAATGTATATTTATAGAAAGCTAAGGTGCAAAATAAACTAACTTTCCCCTTTAGTTTTCCTTTTCTCAAAAGAGCAGTAGCTTTGGGGCAAGGCATTCTGGAAAGACACAGAAAAGCAATCCCCAAAGTTATAGCTTCGGTGTGGAAAGACTCAGGCAATGTTTGCTGGTCTCCACTAGGACTGGCTTGGATCTCTGGAACTCTAGTTCAGTTTTGCCATCTCAGCAACAATGAGTTGATCCCCTAAGAAACCTATCAATTAAATAATACCATGATTCTTCAATCCAATAGAAGATGAGCTCTAAGCTAGCCAACATGTGCACTTAACACTATAAGCCAAAGTACTATTTGATACTATTTGTAAATATCTACTGGAAATTGTTAGGTTTGTTTAAATCAAAAAGGTAAGAAGAGATCGGTGACTGATAAATCTTTAATATAAAAATTGTACAAGAATTTTGATACAAATTACAAGAGGTATTTGGACAAAATATGAATAAAATTCCATTTACATCCCAAACCCTTATGCATTTTATGCAAAAGACATACTGTAGACAGTTATAGTACAGAAAGTACAACAAAGAAAGTAGCAAATAAAAAATATAATTACCTTAGGCTACTAATAAAAACAAACCAAAAGGCAAAACAAAACAAAAACAAAAACCTTGCTTAAAGCACATACAGCATTTACAAAGCTACTGACATCACAATGAGATCAGGGTGATCCAAGCTGCCCCTGTCCCTTGGTGCAGTTACTTTTTGGATAGTACAGACTTTGGTTCTGCTGCAGGCTTAATGGAAGAGACCGGGTTGATGCTGGTGAGAACAATACAAACACAAAAAGACTAAACCCTTAAATTCTCAGTGAGAGAGAAGACATCTGGATTTTTTTTTTAAAATTCCTTTTCTTCAAGATATTTCAATTCCCTTTGGCCATTTTCACTGTCAAGTATGCAGGTTGAGTCAAACGCTTTTGGAGACACACCAGGGGGTTTGAGGTAAGAAAGCTCTGTGTTCTCCTAACTACATGAGGCATCTTGATGCATCTCATAGGACTATTCTAGGTTCAGCATGAGAGAACAGAGAACTTTCCCGAGCCACAGGCTGCCACTCTCCTACCTTGAGAGAATGAAAAGAAGCAGGGATTTCATAGAATGAGCCAGGCAGGATATGAGGGAAGCAGCGGACAGGGACATTCACCTCATAAGGGACTGCCCACTAGTGTCTGTCACCCTTAATCTGTCCGGTAGACTGTGCACTGCCTGACCAAGTGGCCTCGGGTCAACGTCTTCTGTGTCTCAACCTCCCTTGTGCCTGTGACCTCCACATACTCACATCAAGCTCTTCTGCTTTTTTTTTTTACACTGGCACTGACAGGAAAATGTAAGATTCTCTGCAGAACTACAGAACCAAAGTTTGCACAGAAAAGCAAGTGCATCACATATTAAAAATCTTAGATAGTCATATCAGATTAATATATAATACTAAAACATCTCATTAATTTAATTCATGTTATGTAAACCCCAAACAGGGTAGAACACACATTTCCAAAGCAATCAAATTAAGGTTGAAAGAGGGGGTGTTCTACCTTCTTACTTTAGTAAAGATTATTTATTTACTTATTATTTTTGAGGAGAGTGGGTGATATCAGACAAGCAGAGGGAAGGAGGGAGAAATGTAATGGGAAAGTCAGGGGAGATTAAGATAGACAATGAGAGGAATGGCTTACTCTGTACAAAGTCATGCAAAAACGCTCCAAATTGAGTACTAGATTAAAAAAAAAAAAACAGTCAGCCTTGGTTTATGCATCTCAAGTGAACCTATTAAATTCAGCACATTGCCTGGGAGTTCAAGAGCACTGTACCTCATGAGTCAGTGCTGCTCACAGCTATAGCACTGACTCTATGGTGGGGTGGAGGATGCTTCGTCTCCTACGAGAAAGACAGGCAGTGAGCTCCCACGGAAATGATGCCAGGTCAGTTCACCTTGCTGGGGAACTACCAAGAGGGCTGGAGTTTTCTCCTTCTTTTTGAAAACATTTCTAGGCCAGATGAATAGAGCTCTTTCACACACCCAAGATCTCCCCAGAGTCACCTCTCAATCTTTGCATTCCGTAACAGAAGTGGGCAGAGCCAGTTAATAATTGATAATTTGCCATCTTAGCTGTGCATTATCTCAACATCACATTTGGCAACAGGAAGCCTTATAAAATCTTGGTATAGCACTTAAATTCTCTATCTTCAAGAAATATACTTTTATATTATCTACATTTCTCCATTTTTCTTTTAAAAATACCCTTTTCTGCCCTTCCGTCCTTCGAAGATTCTTTAAAAGCAAGCTAAATAAAATGTGAAAAAATATTAACAATGTTCTCAAGCATTTCTGCTAATTAGAGAAAGGGGAGACAGCTAATATCAACTAGCAGAATTTGTGCAATTTTGGCAACCGAGTTTTTAATTAAGATTCCACGTTCAATATGGAAACGTAAAAAACATCAAGTCAATGAACTGCTTTTTCTCTGACCCAAAGTCCTTGCTCAAAGTGCGTTTCTCCCCAACCTCCCGCTGGTTTATGAAGTGACTTCACACAGCTTTGCCAGCACAGGTCTGTTACGCTGTCTATGCCTGATTCTGCGCTTCTCTCCATGTAAAAGTCCATGGCAAAGGCGACATCTGCATGGGTCTTATTCGGTTGACTAGCATCTTATTTGAAATGTGAATCTTCACAGGAGTTAACTATCTTCTGTCAAAAGTGCTGCAACATGGTTGGAAGCATGGGGTCCCCTTCTATAAGCAATGTGCACAAATAGATCTTGTATTTCCTTCAGTCACTCATCAGCCATGGTTTCACTCATTGTTTATGTAGCTCAATATACAGAAGTAACAGGCAGTATGGGCACATTATCTGGCTTTTGGTATTCTGGAATATGTTTTCCCATATACTTCCTTTGTACCTTTGGTCTCCCATCATTCAGTATTGCAAAACCGCCTCTCACTGTATTAGTACTTATCCAAAGTTTTCTAATAAATGTTTCCTTTTAAAATTAGGGTAGTCCTTATTGTAACAAAGATAGCTAAAAGCCCAGTACCTTATTTTCTTTTTAGACTGTCAGTATAGTTTAACAATATAAATCAGTCCTGTTAAAACATGGATTTGATTTCTGCTATTGAAAGATACATGTGTACATTCAGAGTAACAGCTTGATGCCAAAGATTTCCAAAACATCTTTTTTTTTTTTTTTTACCACTGTGCATAATCAGTTTGTTTACAACACGTGTAGTTTTTGAAGGGGAAGAAAATTATTTTAATCTTTTCCTTACAGAAGAATATGGAGCAATCTAATCCAACTATTGCTACTGACTCGAAGAAAAATTTGCTCTAATTACAGCCATACCCAGTGCTCCTAAAATAGATGGGCATTAATTGCAGTACTTGTTTCCAAACAAGTAGGGTACTTTGTCACAGAGAGCACCTCTCTACTGACCCTTTATGGAAGAAGGACCTTGTTACTGTTCAGTTAACAGCTTGAGAGGGCATCTAGTGCAGACTGGGGCTTCTCAAACATACAGCAGGTGTGCAGATGCACTCTGTGCTGGGAGGATGAAAAGGGGAAGGAGGGAGGAGACAGAGAAAAAGAGGAGAGAAAGAGGCTGATGGGGAGTGTGTGTGCACATCAGGAAGCTCTGTGGGAAAGCCTAGCCCTTGTACTCACTTTCCCCTTCACAAGGGATAAACAGGCAATTACGCATCCTTTTCTATTTGATGGCCAAGTGCTGAACTGGAAAGCACACTATTAGTTTGTGTCCCTTCAGGGCCAGGGCAATAAGCAGCCAGGAGCGCTGGGGCTGAGGCAGAGAGGGTGTTGTCTGCTGTTAGTGTGACAGTCTTGTCAGCAGCATTCACATTACTGGAAGGTAATAAAGTGACAAGTAAGTTATTAGAAAGATATGAGGTGAAATTGAACTGAAGCTTCTCACTGAGCAGCCCTAGCTTCTTCCTTTCCCCTTTCGTAATGGTCCACTATTTGTTATGAACTGAGCTACATCCTGATACCCTTTATAAGATTTTTTTTTCCTGCATAAAGGTCAGTGAATTTACAACAACACTTCAGAGAAGATGAATAAAGGTAGTTTTATGACAACTATAGTGTTGCTTCAGAAAAATATATATTGCATTATAATGAACAATAATGCTGATTTAATTCAGAGTGCCTGTGAAAATGCTTTCTTTAAAACCCTCTGTTCTTAGGCTTAAAAAACAGTAGCTGATATCTAGTTACTACAAAGTGACTATAAAAAATCATTTGTGCAAGATGTGGGAAGGATGACAAAAGGACACAAGATGAGTATTTGGTCAAAAGTGATGGCAGGTAATTCAGTGGTCAGTTTTATAGCTGGATTTTCATGCATGTTGACAATTATCATTTAGGGTGAGCAACATTCCAATGACAGGAAATACGGAAGTGAGTTTGGAACCAATCAAGTATGATTTTAATAGCAATGTGAGCAGGTCTTTATCTCTGAGGAAAAAATACGAAAATAAAAGTTGCTTGTAAGATGTGATATGAGCTGCAGTTTTGATCAAGAGGTTGCCAGCCGAGCAGTATTACAATCACAGCTTTGTGTGTATTGCTATAGTGACAAGCAAAAGTGATGAAGGGACAGATCCACGCTGGTATCTGACATCTGCTCCTCCACTCTGGTCACAATTACAAACATTCGTCACTGAACTTTTCTATAGTTTATGTTACTCTCTGCATCTTTTTTGCTCCCCAAAGGACTCTAGCATCCCTTTCCACTCAAAAGGACTCGAAAAGCTAACTCTCCCCTAAAACCTCGAAAATGTCCTTGTTGCTGTCCTGATCCCTCAGGAATCTACTTCTCTGTGCAGCTGACTTGCTTGTCTCATCTCAGGTGTGTCCAGAGTCACCTCATCACAGGGAATTCTGCATGTCATGGTATCCATACACTGTCACCCACTGCTAGACCACGTTGTACCAGATTTTTTGGACTATTGTCTAATGCATTAACAGCTACCCCCAAACCAGAGCAGGAATCAACCCTCTACTTAATGTCACTTCCTCTTCTGATAGAAATTTAGTGCTCTCTCCAGTCTTTTTTGCCCATCTTTTACTGCCCTCTTGTTAGGTCCTGCCTGGTAAAAAAACAAAGAATACAAGGGAAAAGCAACCCTGATGGTTTAAGTATTTATGTTTGCGAGGAGGTGCTTTTTTGTACAATCTTTTTGGCATAATTTAAAAAGAAACTTAAAAGTGTGTTTCCACAGGCTGCAAGTGTTTCTCCTAGATGTTCTTCATGCAACTTATCTTTGGATTGTTCATTCTATCAGTGCTAGCAAACTAGAGATACAATTTAGGACTGCTCAGGCCAAGCTGCCTAAGCAGTTAGTGGCAAGTCCATGGCGACCTGATTGTTATGAGTCTTTATGTTCTAATTGCCAAAAGCCTCCATTCTTTTTACTTGGCATATGTCTAGTCTGTGTGAGTGTGGGCGGGACATTTTATTTGGTGGGAACCTAATATATCCTGAATAAAATGAGGCGAATGCTTCTGGATCCATCCATTCTTGATATAATCAGAATTTTTTAAAAGAGCAGTGTCTATACTAATGGGATTTTTAATCAGTAACATGCCTCCTCCTCTCACTGAAAGGGCCTGCAAATTCGTAACCAAAGATAGCACACTACAAAGGCAGTGAAACCACTGTGCTAAGAATGTTTTTCCAAAAATATTTGTCATGTTGAGAAGAAAAACATTTAACACCTTTAAATCTTAAAAAAAAAAAAAAAAATCAAGCTGGCTAGGACAGCTGCTGTTAGGACCGGCAATGAGTTACACTGGGCTAATTTAGATAATTACTAGCAAAACTAAGGTCAAACTTTTATCACATTTTAAAATTTCAATGTATTTATCTTTTCTTCTTCCTCTGTCTTCCCTCTCCACTGCATGTAGACTAATGTGGACTAAGCCTTTCTGGTATTTACAAAAACACAGTTTAAAATGATGAAAATAGCAAGTTTCAACATCAGTTAGAGAAGATGTACAATAATACTGACTAATTTTGTACTTATGATAAAACCCTGGCTATAATCAAACAGGAAAAAACTGCTTGGGTGAAAACCTACATCCTTATTAATTTTCAGTCAGCATAAGATGAACGCAGCTAGAGAGAAACTGCTTAATGACAGGAAACTCCTATGAAAACGTAAATGAGAAGGAATGGCCAAAGATGAAGAGCTCAAGGATTAAAATGCAGATCCTTTTATCCTTCCTGTTTGCACGTAAGACTTGGGACCACTGGCTTAAGAATTACAGTTAGGTCAAACACTGCACAGGCAAAACCAGGGAGCAGCAAGACCTTGCAACCAGAAGAATTGTGTTTTATGAGTTTACGTTTTATGCACTACATATTCATCCACTCACCCTTATTCCTTTTAAATAAAAACTGGCTTAATATTGGGAAGCATTATTGTTGAGAAGGCCACCATAACAACTGCATATCTGTGGTACAAACTAGTACTAAATCGGAGACATTTATTTTAAAAGTGCCAGCTGCCCAGGGCCATTTCTGACCAAAAATAAAAAGAGGTGAACACATTCATGTTTGCAACTAAGGAAAATTCTTTTAGACTGTCATTACTCTTTTTTTCTTCCCCCCTCCTAACTGGGTATTGACATTACCCTTTGTGGCAAGTAACAACACTGATTCAGCTTGGTACATTTGCTGATGTGACCTCCTGCTAGATCTGTAAGTCACTCATTAGGGCTACCTGACCTTTTATCTGACATTAAACAGGAAATGATTTTGCACAGATGAGTTCTATAACCACAACCAACAATGTAAATTTTAAAAGCTAAAATAAAAAATATGGGTATGAAAATTCTTAATATTAGATAGAATTTAGTCAATGCTCTCTAAAATCCAAAGTTTCCATAATCTTTTGTTAGTATACTAAAAATGTTTTTCCACCCTTTTGGAATCTAATCATTTGATAATACAGCAACAGCGCAATACAGAGAACGCTAAGAGGACCAAGATGTTTGCAAACAAATGTTCATTATTCTAGTTCAATCTTTCACAAACATACTGTACAGAGTCTTATAAGGTATAAAACAAAGAAAAACATCTCTGTCTATTCAATTTAACACAATACCAAAATGAAGCAATTAAGACTTTGGGAAATTCAAAGGTACAAGAAAACAAAACGGTTATTACTAGTTCCTCAGCTTTTTACCGTAAACATTTGTCATTTAACAGACATAGTGTTTGATATAGTGTCTTTTGTAATGCAAATACTTTTGTTCTTTCCTCACTGCAGAACAAATGCAGAACCAAAGGAACTCCATAGAACCCCATAGTATCCTCAGAAGGAGTCGAGAAGATAAAGCTCATATATATATCTTTAAGAAGAGCTTATCTTTAAGAATCTATTGTTTCTGAAATTTTCACAAATAAAAAATACTGAATCCCCAACAAATGATGCTTTTGGAAACAATAAATACTGTGAGGTACAATAAATCCTACAGGAATAATAACAATAGAAACATATTAACAGTTTCCTTTGGCAAATTTAACGGAATTAAATGCTGATATGAACACAGAAAAAAATAATTACAAAACATGGGAAATGGAAATGACACAAAAGGTTCTAACAAAGGGGTATCTCTAACTTTTAGACTTATGGGCGAAATGTTTGAGGCCATTAAATGCAGAAAACAAATACATTCTCTTTATACTGACTGTGTACTGTTTGACAAAATAGTCCTTATCTTTCCCCTCCCTTCACTTAAAAAAAAAAAAAAAGACAACAAAACATACTCTGCGGCGCTCGCCCTAATGGTTTTGGCTGCAGACTGAATTTGAGTAAATATCATCATTTAGTCAGTATGTTGTGGTAGCTGAGGCTGCCGATGTGGTTAACCAGCTCAGGCAACATGTGTAAACATCGGAAACAAAACAAAATAAAACAAAAAAGGTTTGGAGCAGTCTCCCCGCTCTTTCTCACTCTCAATTGCTTGGTTTCAGGCTTGCTTTCATTTCTCTCTGACAAATTCATGTGGGGAAACACAAAACACTACACAGTAAGATCCTATCTGAAACCCTCCTTCCCCCGCCTTTCAGAAGGAGAGCTGCTCAATTCAAGTTTAGCACGCGTTTTCAGAGCTTCCAAGTACTCTGCTGTGAAACGGCTTTTGATTTTGTCTGTCAAACAGGACTGAATCGTAGCGCTACTGTAGAATTTGTGACAAATGAGACAGTCATACAACAGACCAACCCAATTCAGACCTTTTCAACAGTTTGGGCCTTGGAAATGAGTGTTCAACTCTTTTACTGTATTCAGCTTTGTTCCATAGTGAGTAATTTGGGCTTTTGTATCCTGAAATATTATCCTGCCTCTAAAGAAGAAATGCCTTGGCTGTTTCACACCACATAATTTTGTTTTCCTTTTATGTAACTTAACATATAAGCAAGAAGGATGCAATGTTGATTCTAATAACATTCGGCACTTGAAAGAATCACCAAGTTTTTTTTAAAGCGGTTTTCTGGTGGCCGACAAATTGGCCTGTGGTTATGTTGAGTGACTAATTGTATTTTCTTTTCTGGAAACTTGTGCAAAGTTGGCAGTTTTGTGTTAACACTAATACTTTTGTTTGGCATTCATGCCCTATACTGACCAGACCATTTTTATACAAGTGGATTTTTTTTAAAAGACACTTACTGAAGTATGGCAATAGTTTAAGGATAAAAAAGAAGCATGGATATTACACATCCTCTTGTAGTGTATGAAAAAAAGTGCATGACTGGATTTATGTACTAGTACAGGACATTTTTAAAAATCAGATCTGTGCTGTAAAGCATGCCAGCACCTCTTTATCACTATATCTAACAGGTAGTAAAAACAAGACCATGTTTTCTTTTTTAAAAAAATGTGCATTAATGCTAACATAAATGAGCAGAGCTAAGCCAGCAACCTATTTTTTTCCTGCATATCTAACAGCTGGATGTAACTGTAAAAATTAAACAAAAGAGTTAAACAACCATCAATACAACTGTTTTACATCATCAGCCTCTCAAGGCTAAATATTTACAGGTGAATCTGCCATGCTTTAATTGAAGATTCTCTCAAAACCTTAAAAGTTCACAAAAGACAACTATACAAAGTTCCTGTTGGTTTCTTTTTTCTTTTCTCCCTTTTAATTTTTGCAGGCAATAGTCATGGGTACAACAAATTGTCTCCTTGGAGAAGACCATGAATTGTTCTATCAAAATTGGGGCTAGATGCACGCTTTACGTGTGTGTGTGTGTGTGTGTGTGTGTGTGTGTGTGTGTTAAAGGGGTACTATTTTCACCCCCAAATTAAAGATTCCACCCCTTTCCCAAAACTATAAAGGAAACAGAAAAAATTCAAAAGCACCTAGTGTTTCTTTTTTATCTAAAGAAATTATCTGTGTATGTGTGTGTATGTAGACACAGAGGTACACATAGGTACACACACATACACACCCCGCCGACAAGAACGTAAGCGCACACTGACAACGGCAGTTCAAACATGTAGGCCATCTGGTGAGAGCTGGCATTTGTAGTGTCCGTTCTGGGACTAATCTATTGAAGTGAAGGGAATGTTTTTGTGGAGATTAGGGTTCTGACTGTGCCGATTTCGGCTTCGCACAGAGGAAAACATCATATTGCAACCGGGGACCTTGCACTTGTGCATTTCTCGCAAATGCACAGTTTTGTAGTGCACCCTCAGAGTCCCCTTGTTGCTGTACATTTTGTGGCAAATGTTGCACGCGATCCCACCATTGCTCCCAGACAAGCTGCTGAACATAAGCGATCCTGGAACTTCAGCCCCAAGGCTGCCAGGGAGGGCAGGGGCCTCAGCCTTGTGTGCAGACTCCCCACTGTCACTCGCCCCGTCAATGTCATCGAGAAGAATCCCCTCGTCACTGCCTGCATCAGATTCTCTGGAGGAATGGATGCTGCTGCTGGACTGGAGGCTGGAGGTGGTGCTCAAGTCAAGGACCATGTAGTCCTCTGTCATGCCTCTCCCATACCCATTCAGGTGGGAGTCTTCAGTCCCTGCGGGAGAGGAGGCATCTTCCCTGACATCGAGCCCCAAGGGGTGCTGGGCACCATAGATCTTCACCAAAAATTCATCCCGGAGGTCTTTGCTAAGGGAGGGCTGCGACGAGTCCAGGCCCATGTCATCGAGTTCTTTGGTCAACAGTTTACGATGCAGATTTATGTTGGCACTGTGTCTAGGAAAACAAGAGGGAAGGGGGGTAGGTGCAGAGGGAGTGGGGAGGGGTGAGAAAATGGAGAGCATTTTAAAATTGATTCGGCTTTCACCAGGCGTCAAATAAGCACATTCATTTTACACCATTATAAAAGCAAGCACTTTGCTACATCCTTGGGATCTGGGAGATAAAATACGGGGAACTATTCATTAACTAATTTTTAGAAGAATAAAATCTTCAATGGTAGGATGAATGTAAGCCCATGCACCCCTTTTCTCAATTTTTCTGTTATTGTTCCTATGTAGCAGTGTCAGCCTTCAAGGGCCTCACAGTAGAAATTTTAGAGTATGTGTACAGTAAACAGAATTAAGGAACAGAAACTTTCTTGCCTGTCAGAAGAGAAAAGTCTAAATTTATCTTAAAATAATTCCTTTCTTCATACAGTAAACACTTTGTTGAGGTATAAAAAAATCTACTTTTTTGAAAAAGGAAATGGTCTAGATAATTTAGATTTTACTGAAAAATAATGAAATCTTCACCCCCACTCTCCTATATTACAACTTTCAAGTAAGAAAATTTTGGCTTGTTAGTACTTTAGTATTGAGTTAAAAGACTCTTGAACAACATAAGTCTGTTTCTCAGAAGGCTCTCAAAAGATCTATTAAATCTAACAGCAAAAATGTATTTTTCAGAAGTTACACTTTAGTGAAATGTTTTCATCACGTAATTCCATTTTAAAATTCTTTAAAACAAGGGTATGAAAATTGTATTTTAAAATACAATCCACCCACCCTTTAAAAATTATACTGAACAACAGAAAAAAGAAAAACCTGAAAAGACAAAATTAAGATACAATAAGTACAAAAAAATTAAGCACAATAACATATGATACATCTTTTTTAACAACTGGAACCTATACTTCTTATATAAGCAAAACTTTTATTCTGTTCACTGAATGTTTTGCTTGTGTTAAAAAAAAAAAAAGACATGATTTGTCCCAGAACATTCATAGGGACACTATGATTTATAAAATCTGATGTTATTATTTATCTGAAAACACTGTCTTTGTATTTACATCCCCCATTTATTTTTAAAGTGCTCTTGGGCATATACCTCTCTCCAACTGCAAAGGCTCAGATGTTTTACAAGTACCTAAATTGAATGCTACCCTTCCCAAAATAAATCAATTAACAAGTAAATAAAATAAAGCTTCTCAATATTGGCCCAGAAGCTCTACATTTTAGAAAAGTAATTCTGGTAACAGAAATGATCCAAATGGTCAGTATAAAGTCTAATAGAGATTTATGATTAAAAAGTACACAAAAGAAAAACTAGCCACTCTATCTGATAATAATCATAGTTACTATTTCGTACAGATGGTTGAGAGGTATGTGCCTCAGAGACAAGAAAGGTGGGAAAGACTTCTCCACCTTTCTACACAAGACAATATACAGCAATCTGGGTTTAAGTGGCAGAGGGCACAGCCCTCTCCACACTGCACTTAGGAAGGCTGAGCTTACCTTGTGATAATAAGATCAGCTTTCTAATCTTTTGCTAAATCGATCACAAAAGAAAGCAAGAATGAGAGACAGAGAGAGAGAGAAAGAGAGAGAGAGAGAGAGAGAGAAAACAAATTCACATTCTAGACATCTGGTTTAAAAAAACAAACAATAAAATAGGGATTTAAAATGTTTTGATCACAAATAATTTTCTGTCATAAGCGATCATCTCATATGCTGTCTTGATGATTTTCAGATCAGCTGCATAATCCAAAAATCATAAATCAAATTAAGATAAACAAATTCACAGTATCATCATCATCCATAAATGAATTCCAAGCAGACACATGCAGTGTGAGGGGATGTGAGTGGTAAACAGAAGTTGTCCCCATGGTCCCTACTCAGCCACAGTTATTCCCTGTTTTCTTGGTATCAAATGGCAGATGACTTCACATGCAAGTTGCTAAGTAGAATACAGGAAATGCCTACTTTGAAGTCTTTAACATGACGTGGATACAGCATCACTAGGGTTAAAAAACGAATGTGGAAATACAGTTATACTGTTTATGTACTAATATTCTATTGATGAAGCCATCTGCCAATTATAAGCAGCTCACAAAATCCTATCCCTCAATTTATCATTTTTAAAACCTTCCCTCCTTTCTTAATTTCACAAACACACATTTTACTATGACTGTAATCTAGAATACTATGTTGTTTCTCACACATCTATAGTTACCACTTCCTAGGGTCACTTCTGAGAAAATAGCAGCCAGATACACATCAAGACACACTAAATAAAGAATACATTAACACTGACAAAAGGACACACTGATCACTCAGATGGACACCTCTTCTCTAAGACAACTTATGAAATTACACATTTCCAGCAACATGTTGCCAGAGATTTTTTTCTTCATTTCTCACTTACAGAAGTAAAAATCTGTAATCTAATTAGATGATGTAGCAGCCCTCAATATCTGTCAACCAAACGATGTGCAGAAATGTGTAGACCAGCTCTGGCACTCTGCTCAACAGTGTCCCTTTTCCGCTGTCAGCAGTACTGTTGGCCTCTGCTAATATAATTACATTGACTTTTATTCAATTAAGTGCCATCCCTCATTAAAAAAAAAGCTACTTTATCAATTGATTCAGGTGTAATGCAATAATAAAGATGAACTCATGGCAGTGCATTAGCTCTGCCGTTCATAACTTCAGTACATGAGTTCATTCATGGTAGTCGATTTCCATTATGCAACCACAGTTCAAAAGAATTGATTCTTTTATGTTCATTTCTTAATCTATTTCATTTTTGTTTAATAATCCTTCCAAATGCCATATGCAAAACACTTGAAGTTAGGAGAGGAAGAATGGGTTGTGGAAAACCTGCTGGTTCCTTCTCATGATAGCGGGCTTGGGGATTTTCCAACAAACTCAAATCATATTGCTGAGCTGGAGATGGAATGTGAGAGGAGGAGAGAAAGAAGACAGAATGATGCTTTAGAGACTACTGATCCTGTCCTTCAAGAGGTTAGAGTTCAGCTTCACAGAATGTTAAAAAGGGCAGTGCTTGATTTTAACAAAGAACTATTGTTGGACTTTCCAATCAGTCAATCCAAACCATTAACTGTCATAAAACATTGTCCTCGTGAGATAGAAAGACCTGAGGTTAATAGCAATTTGAGGAATATTACAAGTTTATTTGGGTCAGCAAAACTTTGGTGAAAAGAAAGGAAAAATGAAATGATGAGACAGAGGAAGTCTCACTGAAAATCACAACATAGAAGATTTTAAACTGGAAGGCCAGAAAGATAACATTGTGGGAAAAATAATCTATAAAACAATCAATTTGGAGTCACGAAAAAAATTTTTTTTCTACAAATTTAGTATTCACTACATTTATCTTCAGAAAAGAATACTCCCGAACCAAAGTCTAGTCGGAAGCAGAACTTCTTATATTTTATAAGAATGTAAACAACATGAAAGCTGTTTGTATTGGCTCTGATGAGACCCATGATATTGATATATGGGGCAAAGTTCTCTTAGCGAAAAGAAAAAAACAAAACAAAGTAAAACTAAAGACTGGACTGGGATGGAGAGACAAAAATGAGTTTGTAGAGACAAAGGTAAGGATTAACACAGTGATCCAAAACGTAGTCCCAAGAAGGCTATTTTTAAGAATACAAACTGAATAATCTACAGTAATTAAATTGTGTGTATCCTACAGATCAAGTAGAATTTGCACACAGGAGAAAGTACAATTATTTGCTTTCAATCAGTAAGACACATGAACCTTAAAGAAGCTCTTCCCAAAATACACTGCAAATAGAAAGAACACAAAAATCCCAAGTCAGAGGCAAGGAATGGGGTATTTAAGAAAAGGTACTGGTAAAAAAGCGAAGACCTCAGTGTGGTACACAAGGCATGAAAAGTCTACAAATTAGGGCAGGAAAAGCCCTCTGATGTAGGCTACGCTAGGATTTAAAATGTTTCCTCTGAACCTCTGAGCTCTTTCTGTACAGTGAATTTACCAAGAGCCTCCTGAAGACTAAGATCACAAAAGCAAAAAGCAATAAAAAGTGAAAAGCATTAATGTTTTAGATTGGGGGAAACCCAATTTTTTAAAAAATTCAAAATACTAAGTGAATGTCTCTGAAACACAAGCCTTTTTCTGTTTGATGAAAACTTTGCTTTACTCTCACAGAAGACATGAAATTCATCAAATGTAGTCAAATAAATGAAAATGCCTTTAGAGAAGAAACTAAAACCTTAGTCCTGCTCTGGACTTTTCTCAAATCTCTTTTTCCCACTGTTCCAATATCCAGTTGGACTTAATGCAGTTTTATAAAAGCAAAACAGGTTAGGACAAAAATAGTTTACTTAAAAGGAAATTTTTTGTTTTGAGCCCTTCTCCCCCGATCCTGGGCACTGAAGCCAGAGCCTTCACACTGAGCTACATACATCGCCAATCCCTTATTTTTCTATTGTGAAACATGGTCTCACTACGTTACTAAGCTACCCAGGCTGGGCTTGAACTTCCAATTCTCCTGGCTCAGCCTCCTGGAGTACTGGGATTATAGGCATGTCCCACCAAGCCTGGCTTGTTTTTGAATTCTTAAATTTGGCTTTGGTATACAAGAAAGAATTGTTTGTATTTATGTACACCTGTGTTTAACAAAAAGGTTCCCTGGCTGGGTTAGAAAATCAGACTGGAAGGCAGAAACTGAAAAGTAAATAAATCAAGTTATGTGTTATATGAAATGCCTAACACCTAATTCTTAAATCTTAATCAGTTTTGAGCCATTCTAAACTTAGGGAATTGAAAGAAGACACTTGATAATTAATTACGATCCCTTGATTAAAATGAAATTGAGCTTTCCCTTTGAATCAATTTTGGCCTTTATATTCCTGCTGGACTTTGCCACTCACAATACATTAATTAGATTTTTCAAATAATATTGTACAAAATGATCACAGTGGTATATATATAACTGACACCCTATGTGTATGTGTGTGTATAGA